AGCCGGAGTTAAACCATGACAGCATATTAAATCTTTAGTTCTTTTCACAGAAAGTTTCATTCCTTAGAATTCAATTTCCCCTTATAGGCAGAGGTATGGTGCTTCTCTCTGTGGTGGGTTGGCCCTGGCTGGAGGCCAGGTGCCCACCAAAGCCACTCTTATCACTCCCCTCCTCAACTCGGCAGGGGAGAAAAAAATATAATGAAAAGCTCATGGGTCAAGATAAGGACAGGAGAGATCACTCACCAGTTACTGTCATGGCAAAACAGACTAACTTGGGAAAAAAATAATTTATCACCATTCAAAACAGAGTAAAAGAGCACTAAACCCAAATCTTTAAACACCTTCCCCTGCCCCTCCCTTCTTCCTGGGCCCAGCTTCAGTCCAAATTTCTCTACTTCCTTCCCCAGAGTGGTGCATGGGGAGGGGGAACAGGGGTTATGGTCAGTTGTCTCTACTGCTCCTTCCTCCTCAGGGGCAGACTCTTGCCCTGCTCCAGTGTGAGGTCCCTCCCACAGGAGACAGTCCTCCATGAACTTCTCCAATGTGAGTCCTTCCCACAGGCTGCAGTTCTGCACAAACTGCTCCAGTGTGGGTCCCTCCCAGGGGGTGCCATTCTTCCGGAGCAGTCTGCTCCAGCCTGTGCCCCCCCCCGGGGCACAAGTCCTGCCAGCAAACCTGCTCCAGCCTGGGCCCCTCTCTCCACAGGGACACAGCTCCTGCCAGGAGCCTGCTCTAATTACTGAAGTTACTTATTGAGGGCTAATACCCCAATGCAGTTAGGGCACTTGGGACCAATCTGCACCCTGGATTTCAGTTTATGAACATAGTATTTTGTATTTATGTTCTATTGAACATAAACTATGGTTACACTTATACCTCAAAGTATTTACAGAAGCTTTTTTCACATATCTGATCAAACAATGGCAAATGCTTGTCAATTGTGTGCATTTACTTACCCACAGTAGAAGAGCACAACACAAACATAAGCTAAGACTCCTTGTACTTTTATTGAGCTTGTTACGACTCTGATGAGCTGTTTTAAGGATAAAAGTTAAACAGTTAAAACATATAGCATGCAATTATTAATAGAATATTTTAACAGACATTTCTCATCTGGTAAATTCAAGACAAGAGCAGAAACATTTACATTAACAGTATTCTAACATTCCCCTTGGTCACGCTAACTATTGCAAGATTTTGGTTAGAATAAATATTATACTAGTACCTAGTTTCAACTTTCACAAAACTACAGTCTGATGATGTTTCCTTCAACACTGACTTCTGAGTAAAATACAAAGCCAATAAAACCTCCTCAAAAGTCAAGGGCTGGAAACTGAGTTAACAATTTCTGAGGGAATTGTCAAGAGATGCTGATGCAGTAAAACAGAATCAGTGTTTCACACTATGCTAACATTTTGAATACAAAATTGCTTTGTGAACTAGGCATATGAATCCCAAGTTCCAGTAACAAGTGATCCTGAAATCTCAGTTTTACATCACTATTTCACAATTAGGGTTCCAAGTTAGCAAAGCAGTCTAGTTTGCTTTAAACCTATTAGTAACAAGGGTATCACATCAGAACACAAATAACTTGAAAAAAGCACTTTGACTGAATTCTCACTGGATGTACATTACTTAGTTATAAAAGAAATCATGATTATGATCATAGTTGGTTTGGATTTAGGGTTTTCTGGTTGTTTGTTTGTTTAAAACCTGGATAAAAACCAGGAAAAGCCTGTCAACAGTATTTTTCCTCATCTGTATGGGAGAACGTTACATTTAAAATTAATTCATACTGATATTCTTCCAGGAAAACTATGAATTTGCATCTTCACTGGCAAAGCAAGAACACATTCCCAGTATTACGGTAACTACTGCTTATCTACACGTGGGGAAAGTCAGAGCAGATATTTAAAGAAAACATTCTGCAATAGTCAATTAAGAACAGAAAGCACACAGACACCATCCCAGTAACAAAGCGATTCACTTCATGGCCGCATATCCATGTAACAGGGTCAACTATTTCAGAATCACGTATTCTACTCAGGAGCTCAGTGCCCCGTATAAAAGAAACCTTAGTCATTAAGCATACCATTACAGGGACAACCACAAGGACTCCTATGAAATGTCTAAAAAAAAAAAAAAAAGCAGCACGCTACTGCTAACCTTCTGGCAACCAACTGCTTTGACTATTCCAAATGAATGAACAGGATAATTGCCAAAAGGAATAAATGTTTAATAAGCACAGATGTAGTTAAATTCCACAGCTACAATTCAAGGGCTTATAAATTCTATAAAATAAATATATATTCCATTTTCTATGAAAGGCTGATAAGCCATAACACATTTGTGAAGTCACAGCTAGTATGTGATGCAGGTTACACGGAATGCTAACTTAACTTTGCAGCACCATTTGAGTTACTTCAGGTGATCATTTCATCCTCAAAACATCAAAATGAGCTAGCTATCTCACAGGCATATTTTCTCAAAGTGAGATCTTATTGACAGAAAACTAATAGGAAAGACACAACTTACTAAAACAGCCAGTGGAAGAGGAATGAAACCCATTCGTCTGGAAACTGAATCACTATAATCCTAATATGCCTAGGAAAAAAAAAAAAAAAAGAGGAAGAATAATGAGCTATTTATACAAAGAAATGAGTTTATTTTAGCTTGGCACACCATCTAGATAAGAATCAATCTCAGCTAACAAACACTATACTGGTATAAAGTGTACCTATTCACAATTTGAAATTCAAATGCAGATAACTGTACCCTCAGACAAAAATGTAATACTACCATGACCAGTAAGATTAGCTCCAGTGCTTTAAAACAACAGCAACCAGAGTATAATAGCAAATCTCTAAATCGAGAGCAATTAGGACACTGAATCCAAATGCACTATTTCATCTGTACCTTATTACTAGCTTAGAGACCTTTTTGTATTAATTTGACTTTGATCCTCCAATACTGTACAGAAAAAACGTAACAGGGAACAATTACTCATCACACTACCAATTTTAAATTATTCTACAAACATCTATAATTAGGCTCATGATAATTATGTTGAAATAGTTTTGAAAATACGTTTACATTTGAACTCTCAAAACAGCTACTTTGTATGACAGCTTTCATGCAGTATTGGACAGAATTCCCAAGTTAGGTAGCATCACACAGGCACTCATTTTCCATGGAGGATCCGTAGGAACAGTAATCAAGTTTTCAGAACTAATAAACAGTTTTTTTCAAATTAATTGAAGTTATTAATAATTAATTATTTGTAACTGAAGGTGTCTAACTTCACTGAGAGGTATAAACTACTGCATTCCTAGCAACAGGTATTAAACATGCCCAAGAAACCTACATAGATTATTTTAATAAAGTTCGTTTCATAGTTAGAGCCCTCATCCAGAGCACCCACTAACTGCTAAGACTCATCCAGGAAAGGTATGCTGTAAATAGTCTTCCAAATAACAGTACTAATTGAAAACACAAGCAGTCTGTGTGTTCCGTAAATGCCACTACAGTAACATGCATTGTACAAGCATCCTTAAAAAGATCTGTGACACTGTCTGTGAAGACATATTATAGATTCATAAATACTGTATTTTGCTCCAACAAAATAAAAAAGTGAAAAGAACAGTAATTTAAAATTACCTCTAGAACATCTTGTTAAGCTCACTTACTTCCCATATATCTCAAAAATGTCAAAGTTGTTACAACCATCCCCTGGCTATGCGTGTACTTGGAAGAGACTTCTCAACAACATATTAAATAAAGCCTGAACTGACCTGAACAACTGGATAAAAATAAGAATATAAATCACGAGGAAATATTCCTGTTATCTCTTATTAAAGAAGGCAGAGTAGAATTTCAGTGCTGTAGGAATGTAACAGTTCTGTATGTATTTATTAAAGTATTTGTTCCAATATCCCCCCCCTCCAAACAATTACGTTAGTTAATACAAGAAGATGCCTTTATTTTCAGGCTTACATTTTTCTGTCGACTGCTAACAAGGTCAAATGCAAGACTGGCTCTGTATTCACTGTAGACCTGGAAGAAATCCAGCACATCGGATCTGTGATTAATGTGTTATCGCACTTTATGGAAGCGACAGAGATATTAATAAAATACTTCTGTAAAATGACTGTAAACACTTATGCACAAGCTGAAGGAGTCAAAGACAGTTTTCTGAGGTTTACTTGCACCCTTCAACAGATGAGCCTCTATTTCTGCAATAAAGTAACTTGTGTATATATACAACAAACAAACACCACTATGCTGTGCTTTAGGAACTGAATAAGCATTTACTGAATTTGAGGATCATCAAAAGTCAGAGAAAACATGTTTACTTCTTTTCCTACAGGTCATAATTTGTTTTAAGCTACACAAAAGGTAGCACTGGGATCAAATTAAACAAATGAGAGAATTTATATACTAAGCAAGTGAAGCCATGAAAATGCAAATTCTATCAGAAGATGAATGCATTTTTTCTTTCTCTTTAAAACAGTCCTACATGTTAAGACAGAAAAGCATCTGTTAAGAATAAGTGGCAGAGCAACTTGCACTGCAGGTGTTCAAAACTTCTGAAAGTCTGACCTAGCAACTGCAAATTTTCAGAACTTCATACAAAAAAAATACAAAGTTTGTTAAAAAAACCTTGCAAACTTGTCATTCACTTCCCCCATCTTCCAGTTGTTTCAGAACACTGAAGCATGTTACATTTTTTGCTATCATGACTTCATTATTGCTCTTTTCCACACTCTGTGTATGAAAGTAGGGCATGCATAACAGCCTCTGGCATGAGGGAGCTTATTAAGTGCATCTATTAAACTTGTTTCTGCACCGCACAATGAAGTTACTTCAGAGATGCTGAAAAAGATAGCCCTTCCAAGTTATGATCTCATTTCCTGAAAAGTGGTTTTAATAGTGGAAAAATGCTAACTCATCTCTTCACAAATTTATCAAGCGCATTTGAATTCACACAACGTGTAAGACAAATGGCCAATGTCTCACACCACACCACACAAAGTAACTTCATCTACTACTTTAAAAGAAGGACTGCATAAGACATATGGACTAAGAAATTCCAGGGAAACCAACATAACCTACTTCATATTAGTGCTCCAGGGACAGTGAAAAAAACATACCTCTGATTTCAGATTCCGCCTTTAACATACATGCAAGAACAGAGACTCAGCAGCCTCACAATATCTGTTATTCCTAAAGCCTGAATTTTAACCTACAATTCCTTCTGTTAGGAAAAGGCATAAACCTTGTCTATCTAGGCTGCAGAACAAGTAACCTTCTATCAATTTAAGCAGTGATCACTGCAGAAAATGATCTACCAGTTACGTGAACTGTGGTTATTATGCGAACTGTTACACAACACTTTCAATAATGTGTGGATCTGGAACTACTAATTTAAAAGCAGAGGTGTTTGTTCCACATTATAAAGACCCTCAGAAGTATACTGAAACAGGAAATTGCCAAACTTTCCCAAATTATATCCTATATATGAAAATAACATTTTTTACATTTTCTGCACTGGAGTCAATTTCAATATTTTAAGAAGTGTTAGCAAAATAAACTACAACTTAAAATAGCACTCAGCATTCCAAACATGATACCTACATCTGCTGTGATGTCGTTGAATTTTGTTATAAAGGCATGTTTCACAATATCCACTGCAATTTCTGAAGCGACCACCATGCAAACATCTGGGAATAACACCCAAAGATGATCTGAAGGTTGGGAAGAAAAAAGTTAGGCCATTTAATTTGATGCCAGTATAGAAAACAAAAATTATAACACTCCTGCTCAACAGTGAAAAATCCTCAAGAGCCGGAAGAGTCTGTAACTGTACATCACCACTCAGCATGCAGCATGCAAGTACTTGCTTATTCCATTGCTCTTCTAGAAACTTAGCAGTACTATATAATCACACTACAGGTAGGATCAGGTTCATAGCCTGAAGGTTCAAGCCTTCATAAAGCTTTATCTCTACTAGGAAGACAATTTTTGCACATAGTAGATAGTAGATGTTCAGTATGTATGAGGAACAGACAGAGCACCTGCTGTTTTAGATGCTTAAGGTAAAATTTTGGTAGACTTTAGGTAACATTCAAGCAAAATACACCACACAGAGCAGAGCTCAAAATTATTCAAAGTTTTAATAAAATACAATCCAAGTTTTACTCAATACGGTATTAAAATGCTCAGTATAATTACTATTAAATTACGAATGGAGATTTTTACATAATCTTCTATCAAATTTCAGTCTCACTAGCCTCACAAAATAAAATTCTCTAGGGGATCTTTCCTCCTCAATGTACTCCAAGGAAAGGGAAGGGCTGGGAAGAAATAAGACACTACTTGAAACATAACTATGTGCATTTGTAATATAATAGCATATACTTCTAGCAGAAAGGATAGAGTCACTCTTCTAAGAGATCCAGAAATAGAAAAATGAAAGTTTAAGGTACTTGACAAATTAAGATTCCTCAATTAAATGTCCTGGTTATGCTCACCTTTTAGACTGAGGAAAGAAGCAAGAGACACAGCTGTTAATAGATTAGGAATTAGTCATTTTGCATTTCGTTTTTCTACTAGTTTACTCACCTGGATTCCATGAGAACTGTTCCATATTTCTTAGACATACAATTAGTAGCAGCACGTAATTGGTGAACCTCTCCTTTATATCTAGTTAAAAAAAATACAAGCTGTCAGCTTTGAAGAAACATTTATTTGCACACATAGATAGCTACATATTCTGAGGTTCTATCATTTATTAAGTCTTGGATTAGACAACCTTTTCCACAATTTATTTGACTGGATTTAAGGGCAGGGGATGCTGGGAACCTCACCACGGACAGGATCTCTGCAGTATGCTGTGGCTTGACTGGGCAGGTCCGTGCTCGGGGTTCCCAGCATCAGAGGGGACTTAAGTTGTGATTTGCTATCACCTTTCCTAAGACATTAATAGAAGAGTCATCTTTCCTGATAAAGTTTGTGGGATTCAAAAAGAACCAGCCCCTCCTGGTGTACAAATGGAAACAATACACCTATCTGTCATTTCAAGTTATTAGCAAGGCAAATAAAACTTTCTACGGATCATGGATATCCATTGCTATACACTAGAGTAGGGGGTAGTGGGAGGAAGTGTTTAAAGAAAACTATTACATCTTATTTAGAAAGTTCCTACTAGTTTTTCCACCTTAAAAGGTAACAGCAGGATACATCAGGTAGTTATCAAAACAATAAGAACTATAACACAGAATGAGTCTGACTTGAGCTGGAGTCTTATGTCTTGACCCCAGACAAGGCAGGGCCTTATTTTCTACTTTGGTACCCTAGCTCCAAAAACTCCGACAACTTGCCTCAGGAAACATGACATTTTAAAACATATTAAAAAAACCTCTCTGAGATCTTATTATTGAAAAATGAGGTACAACCTAGAACGTAACGTCACCACAAATTAGCAAGTCTGAAGAAGTCTCTTTAGAAGACAAAACTCTTACAAAAATCTGTGAAGATATTGTTATCACTTGTTACACCTGTTAATAACCACAACAGTAATTTCTCTGTGGGCAAGTCATCTCCAAAGAGTTCATTTCCTTAAGCACCTTGAATATTCCATGTGGTTCTACCCACTGATTTTACTCAAAATTGAAAGGAAGTAAAGACACAAGAAATAGAAACGTTCAGAAGACCACAGAAGGCTCCAGAGAGCTAAAACCGTATTTAACCTGGACTTTGTGTCAGCAGCTTCCATCATCTCTAACTCACTACAGACCAACAACGTTCATGGCTGCAGTTACTATCTACTATAACAATATCCCTCATTTTAAAAAAAGAGGTTTCAAAAACTGGCAAGTCTGAAGGAAGGGAGGGAGCAAACAGAAAAGAACACCTCCTCCAGGAGAGGGAAACAAAAAGGACATAGGATTCAAGAATAAACATGCATGCACAAATGTAAAAAAGGCACATTTTGGGGTATATAAACTCATCTAAGTATGGGCTGGGAAAGGAGTAGAGTAAACACAAGTTTTCCAAACAGAACAAGAGGCATATGTATGGGGGAAGAAACAAGGAAATCTTTCAGTAAAATAAATTTAAATACCAGAAAAAACAGGACACAGGTGAAGCCCTAACCCTAATTTCTTGGTTTCCAGCTGATAACACTCCAACAAGCCAAGTATATTCTATGCTTTTGAATTCAAACACTGGCCAAATTGCCAAACACAGTATGCTCTGATAAATCCAGAAATGAGGTACCATTTGGCACTGTCACCAATGGATTTAATATGGACTCTAGCATTCCTTCACCTATATTCTCTATCACACACATTAGCAACTTGAAAATAATCACTGAGTTTTCAGACTTTTGCCAGAAAAACAAACAAACAAGAAACACTCAAAAAGGTTTCATCTTTTCCTTCCCACACAGCATACTTCCACACTGCCGTGACACGACTGTCATGCATGTCACTGCATGACACAATGATTAAGACAACACACAGATCCCATTTCCAGTGCTGCAGATCTCAGGAAGGCCTGAACAGAAATTCTCAAGTGGGAATTAAGGTCCTTAATTCAGGCCTAAACACTGAAGTATGTCTCAAGCCAATCCTTCAGTCATTTATTGTCTGCTCAGTATATTGTTAGCTCACCAGTTGAGAGCAACATATTTGGCCTTAATTTCTCACGTATGCTGTAATCATAAACATTTTTCGCCTACTAATTTCTGAGACTGGATGACAGGCTGACACCTATTTCTCCCCTCTGCTTATTTTTCCTGTTCTCGCTGACCTCCTTCCTCTGCTGCCACAACTGTTTAAGGCTGCTTAGAGTTAGAGGAATGAGTGTGGCTGCTCTACATGCTCACCCCTCTCATCAACCGATTGCCAGAGACGCAAGCAAGGAAGAAAGGGGATTTTACAGCAGCTTCAACAGGAAATCCAAATGATTCAGAAATCCATTTCATTTCTCACCCTCATGGACAAGGACTAAAAAGGCTTCAGGATAACCAAAACAGCCAAAGGTAATCAGTTCTAAATCCCAATTAAAATTTCAGTATACAAAATATGCACTAATAATGTTTCATCATTTATCCTGAACTTAAGTGGTAATGTTTATGTGCGTGTAGTTTTTTTAAACAGGTGAGGTGAATTTCCTGTATCATATATTGCCATTTCTTAGATGATGTGGTTAACTAAAGCACAAGTGAGGCTACATCCCTAGATTCACACTTGTGGACATCATGCACTTAAACAACAACAGGAAAGTCAGCTACTGTGTTTGTGAACCTGGGAAAACAGTGACAAGTTAGCAGTGTCAGCGTTCAGTGACAGAGAGCACAGGTACTGGCAAAAGGAAATGTCTCTATTCTGCTTTAGCATCATGAAGAGAAAAGTGGGAAGAAAAAAGGATGTCTGTTCTTCATTCTCCATCATGACAATCCTTAATAACATTGACATAAGCCATTTCAACTCAGTTTCAAACATATCCCACAAAGTGTGGGTGATATCACAAACTTTTTCAGTTAGCACATGGTACAGCTTCAATAACCCTATCCATTATAAGAAAGGGTTAAATGACAGCAAAAACAACAGGCTGAGGACACTGTAAATGTTCTTCAGCTACCTCCACAAGCACACGATTAAGAAGTTTACTTTCTCACTGTTCATGCTCCTAAATGTTGAAAAATGAACATGTACCACTAACTAATTCAGATATCCTTATCCCCCCTGACGGGTCTTTTGTCAGCACATGCCATGCACAGACTAACACCGTGTTTTAACTTTACTCTCAGTAGGGCTGGCCCTGAAGCCTGCCCACACACCATACTATATACTCCCCTATACACACTCTTCTGAATATTTTGAAAGATGACACTGAATTTGCTTGTGCTTCCATCCACCCACTGGTGGGGCAAATGACTACAGATGATTACATCTTTTCAGTTTCCTTTAATATATGTATTTCAGTACACTGTAAAAGAAAAGCAAGAATCAGATGTTCCAAGACTTTAGAATTTGGTGGTCGTGTCAAACTCTAGCCACAACATACCTTCTTCCACAAAGGTAAGTCATGTGTGCCTATCAGAGTTGTCGTAAGAACAGAGGTGGTAAACACTTATTTCAACACCAGTACTGTGCATACTGCCATAAATGCAATAGGTAAGAAAGCAAAATGTACTTTTTTTTCTATTGGGTCAGTGAAGTAAAGCCCCAAAAAGGACTGAACTTAACCAAAACTGATTTTAAAGACTTTTGCCCCACTTACATCAACCCTGCCATTCCAATTCAAATGTAATTCTATATCCATATTAATAAATCATTCTGCCTTTCTGTAAATCCTTCTGGGAAATGGAGACATTCAGTTTGCAACAGAGACCTGAAGTTTAATTGCCAGTGTGTCAGAGTGTATCATCACTTTTAAAAAACATGTAAAAGACTACAGAAATGGACGTGACTGGAAATAAAGGATGTTCCTAGGACAGCAATGCATTTAGTATGGAACAGTGTAATTAGCCAACATCCCAAACGATTGATTACTGAACTCATTCTGGAAGGACCTGAACTCTGAAGAACTTAGGTACTTTGCAGTGGTAACTAACAAGAAGGGCAGTGAGATCTCAGGAACAGAGATTCAAAAGTAGCACTTCTACTCATCTGGGTGGAAAACAGACTTTAGAACACATAGATATTTCCTTACAGATTCCCTGACATCATGTGGGAGTCCTTAATTGGGAAGGAAAAAAAGTTTTGATCGCATTAATCCCACTGTTTATATGTTTAGATCAAAAGCTGGTTTTAAATCATAGAGTGTAAGAAGTGAAACACGATCTTTTAGTTTACATGGCAACAAATGCTACGTAGCTCTAGTGACAACTACCTCTTAACAAGTGACCAGAGCAAAAGAAAGGATCAAAAACTGAACAAGAAATCACCAAGGAGGCACCAATGTATCTTAAATGTACTCCTGTCCCCAGATCCTTCATCCTTTAAAATGAACAAGTGGATTAAAATAATGGTATTAAGCCTAAATTCACATGAGAAAGCAGTTTGAACTCCAGAGACCAAAAGATAAACCTAAAGGCTGTACAATATTTTGATCAAAGCCAGAGAGACTGATAAATTGGGAACAAAGCAGAAAGAGCAGAACTAAGGAAAAAAGACAGATTGAGAAATTATAAAGGAAAAACCATGAAGTTCCTAAAGCTTCAGAATAAATACGTTAAATTTTAGAGACTAGATTTTAAAAAAAACAAGGAATAACCTGGCCAAATAGCCATCTGAAGCAAATAACATAATGCACTACACCTAATGTACTACTTCATATGAGGTACAACTGTGTTTTGTGAAGAATCTGGTTTACAGTACAGCTTGAAATTAAAATAAGACATTCAAAAGCATAAAGTAAGGCAGCCTGCTGTGCTTTCAACAATGATGAAAGAGCTTCTCTTTAAAATTTTGGTCTCCTCGTTCACCAATCCTGAACACTACAAAATTAGCTTACAGATATCTATTTCAAAATGAGAATATACTATTTAAATTCAGAGAAATATTTTTTTCCTGCTGCAACAAGTGTAAGGTTTTATGTCTTCTGTAAGTCTCTTCCAATGGCCACAGTGTTTAGATTGTCTGTGCGTATATAAATTTTCTAGTAAAAGTCAGGGTGACAATGCAAAAATAGTTCTGCTGATGATGACAAGTCAAAGCTGCAGGAGCCAATAGGGTGGAAATCACAGATTCTGCAGCTGTAATCTCAATCAGCTGTACAAACCCCAAGATCTTTGTTGACCTCCTGCCCCTGAAAGGTAACAGGCTTGGTTTTATTAGGTAACTGTGTAACCAATGTATATCTCATGGTCTGTTCAATTAGTTTTTATGTAGATGATTCACAGTTCTTTTAGGCCTGAAGATTTAATCAATTAGCTGTTACAGCAGAATTTTAAATGGCCATACAAAGGTGAGAAGGATCACTGACTCCACTAAGTTCAGAACTTGAAATACTGGGAAAAATAGTACAGCCACATATCACCTTGCTATCCACAAGCCAGTGCTGAACGCAATGCCAAGTGAAAATGATTTCATGATTTCCAGATCTGAACTTGGTGGCACTTCATACCCCAATGTCTTACTACACAGCACTTCAGTAGCATGCAGAGCTCTGCAAGGTATTGCAACGCATGAAACAGAAATGCCTCAGAAAGTACAACTCAAAGAATTAATTTCTCTTTTTGTGCTTCTATTCACAAGATTACTTGCTTTTGAATTCTATTTGTAGCAACATATCTTGATCACAAAGTGTACTTTTGAGGTCAGCCATACCATATTTCTGCTAGTTCACATTCTCCTTTTGATTAACATGTTAAATAAAGCAGAAATTTCACCTATTAATGACAAATTTCTCTATGAGACTGACCTTATTTTTCCCCACCAAGAATTTGTATATTTAGCTTCTGTATACTAATCAGTACCCTTTCACTGAATTTAAACCACTTGTTTTGTGATAACAGTAATATTTTGAGCAAAGCCCCTGAAAAGGTGGAGCAAGGGGCCACCCAGTCATTCTGTCTAAGCTTAGTCAGCTACTGTTGTCATTGTTGCCCTACAGTAAAGACTGCAGACATGGCCTGGAAGAAACTGAGAGAAAGGTGAGAAATACATGGTGGAACCTGTATTTAGTGCTTTATTTTAGCAGTTTAGTTCACTCTGGGCATGCAGTTCAAGCCTATTGTGTTCTGGGACATACAAGGCACTCCAAAGGCTGACTGGAAACTCAGGACCAGACTAGCCTCAGTTCCAGGACATAGCATTGGCATAGCATGCCAATACAGGATGCACTAATACTTCAGCTGCAGGAAATAAAACAAATTTATCAGAATACATGAACTGAAGCAATACTGATCCATCCTTACTGAAGCTGTGATACAGTAAATCTATTCAAGTTCAAAAGGGGTGAAAATCTCTCCAAAACCTGTCTACATTATTTATCTGTGACAAGAAAAACACTGCTATTTATAACCATACCGAGAAGTGTTCCAGGGAAAGTTATCTGTTTGAAGAGGATAAATTAGCTTGTTTTGTACACTCTTCTTATATATGTATTCACCTGCTTCCATCCCCATATGGTAAAGTGAATGGCATCACTTTTTCCACCAAGTGATAAAGGGAGACCTGATATCGTTATTACAGGCCTTCAATAATAATGTCTAGCAACAAAATATTGATATACATTCATTCTAGCATACTATTGCAGGTGTTTTTTTAATGGAGAAAATTACTAGCCATTTCTAACAGCAGCCCCTCATTTATTTCAACATCTAAATCAAAGAGAAGCCTTGCCTTTCAGTAGTAGAGCTAGGTGCTTACAAATCACTAATTTTGGCAAGTATTGCGACTAGTGAGAAAAAAAATTAAGGAAACTCATTTATGTTATCTGTCAATGTTTTAGTACACAGCACTTTTGATGTTAAACCATGTGTTGGTTCTGCATGTGTGGTGTCAACACAGCACACTACCAAGTCAAATTTCTGAAAGACAGACTACTTCAGACACTTCAAAGTACGGATATTTTGAATACCATAACTTAAATCTGAAATTTGTATTTAATAACAACTTTAGCACACAGGTTGTTTTAGCATCTCAAATGAAAACTAGCCACTGAAGGAAAAACAGTGTTCCTGGACATGGAATCCCAGTTTTGTCCTAGTGAACCAAACAGTAGTAGGGATGATATGGAATTCAAGTCAGAACACTCAAATACATCAAGGAAAGCAGTTGTAATATTATATAAACAAATAGATTTTAAAGCATCAGCCTCTCACTTCACATTTCCTCCTGATTAGCCCAGCTGTACGTACCGCTATTTGACATTTGAAAAAGATTGTTCTTCTCAAACTTCTTGAAAACACTTCCTTTTATTTCAACGAACTGCAATTTTTAAAAACACTCAGTTAGTTGCTACTGATAAAAACCCTGATATAAAAAAAAAAATCAGACAATCTAATATGCAAATAGACAAGGCACACAAAGATGGAGAATGCTGAAAAAAATGAGGGTAGTTATATAATAAAGCTACATACGTACATTATTGGACATCATGATGGTAAGCAGTGATTTGTTGTGGGAGTTGAAGGCCACATTCAGGGTTGTTGCTTGAACCATTATAAGAATAGCATGCAGGACTAGACAGCAGCGTTAAGGAAGCTTATTTGGAAATAGTTTTTCTGCACAGCAGTAGAGAACAGCAGCAAAAATCAAATATCCTATGCCGTTTCCAAAGTTTAACAAAAAAAGTTCTATCTACCTGTCAACTAGGTTTACAGCAAGACAGTACTTAAACCTACGTAATGTACCCACAGTGCTTTGCAGCATATAATAGTTATGTTCATTTTTCTTCTTCTAAATGACCCCAATGACATTGGTCAGGAGACAGAGCAACACAACCCGAATAAAAAAAAAAAAAGTGGGATAAATAGATTTAGAATTAGCCTAAACATTTCAGAGAAAACCACAAAGCACAAGAATTCTAAATTCATCACCACATTCACTGGACTCTCTATCTCCTTACAGATCATTTTCATCAGCTCACTAAACTCATTTGCATCCTGACTATGCATGAGATTGTTCCTTCTTTTCAAAAAAATGTTTTCAAGCTAGGAATTTAACATTCCACTAAACAACAAAACCCTACTGTCTTCAAGACTCTGTGACCCAAAATACTCAAATCCGAATCAGAAATCAAAGTTTCCATAAACTATCCAATTACTGGTTTTCATGTTACTACACGTTCGGTATTAAAACAGCTGTCTACTACCACAGTGGTATACCATTATGAAGGGTATTTTTAATGCAGGTTCAAAGTTGGGGTTTTTTTTTCATTCATTTAAAAATCTTGTAGTACTGGCAATCTCACTTTGAAAGTAGAAGGGAGACTGATTCAGGAATACTATCAATTGTTCAAACATATTGAAACAAAATAATGCAGAGCAACCCCCCCATGGCAGGAGGGTTGGAACTAGATGATCTTTAAGGTCCCTTCCAACCCAAACCATTCTATGACTCTCATTACTGTGTAATTTTTTTTTTTACTATGACTCTCATTACTGTGTAATTTAATTTTTTTTTTTAATTGCAATTTATTGAGGAAAAAGGATACAGACATAGAGCACCGCCATGAAGAAGTGAGGAATCACACCTATGTGAGCTCTTTTTCTTTCCTTAGGTTCTGTAGCTGTCCAATAAAGAGCATCCAAAATGTCTTGCCCAAATGAAGAGAACAGACGATCAGCCACCTAAACAAGAACAACTTTTTACTGCCTTAAAGTAATATTTTTTTTCTCCAACACCTGAATATGCCACCATAAGTACAGCTCAACCTAGAACAAGTTTCACATATTTATCACTTTCCACCTCTTGTTCATTCCATTTCCACTCTGGATTTCACAGTGATTTTGTTCCTTTTGTATACTCAGCAGCTGACTTTCCCTCTCAAATTTACTTTCCCCTTTTCAACAGTATTTACAATATAAAACCATGTAGTGTTATCTTAGATGCTTCCTTGGAAGACATCCAAGTACAGTTCCAACTTCAGCCTTTGATAAAGTAGGTATGTTGCATCAAATTACCCTAAATGTTTTCCTTCATCCCTCTGGGTTTAATAGGGTGGGAAAAATAAAGAAAAGTGCATTTCTGATGTGTGATAGGTAACATCAGCTTGCAGCTACAAAAAGGGCTGAAATTAGATTTTGCTACAGTTTCCTTAGAACTTGGAATAAAGTATATACTCAATACAGTCTCTGCATAAAGCAGAATTCAAAATTAAAAGTACTTTAACACAAACGCAAGTGATCAAAAGGGACTAAAATCCTGCCAAAAAGGCAAAATTAGTTTGAAAAAACTACAAAAATCTGAAGTGTAACTCAAAGAATATATGCGCAAGTAGGAAAAAACCTAGCAGTAATTCTGAGCTTGTAATTCAATACCACAGCATGGTCACACAGAGTTCCACCAGTTCTCCACATATCAGCAGCAGGCAGGTAAAAGTGAAGTTTATTACAAGGAAAGACTTCTTTTTCTGCCAATACAATGTAGTAATTTTAAAACTAAGTTGCACAGGGCAACAAAAATAGCACTTCAAAAATTAAATGTGGTATCACAAGGCACGTGTCTGGCTAAAAAAAAAAAAGAAGAGAGGCATCCTTCACTACTAACTGAACCCAAACAGAAATAGTTAAATATAAAAACCTTATTATCCCTACTTAATAAAGGCAACTGATGTTTCCTCTTACTGTCTTTTCTGTAAGACAAATTTTGGGCATGTTAGAACAAGATGTAGCAATATAGAACTAGGTGCACAGTGTACCTACAACTATACCTATTCACTAGAAATGAAGTTCTTGGGACAACATAAGTAAAGCTAGATTTGGGATCATTTGCTACTTTGTTAATTAAAGAGTTCTAAAGGTAAAGATACTGAAGGAAGAGAAGTCATATACATTAGCACATGTTGGCTTGAATAAGTTTAGTTTCATAAAACATGAAGGCTGAATTAAAACAGATTTTCACTGGATGTCTCAAGTAAACGGTACTATATGCTACCCTTCCAGCATCACCTATGAAATAAAATGAACAGAACCATGAGCTGATGAAATATAAATCTGAAGTTCAAAAAAACAACAGTTTGAGAGATATTTACAGTGGTATTGTTTTCGGCTTTTATATTTTGTAAATTAAGTTGGTCTGCATTATTTGGTTCCTGCTTGTTGTGATGACCCACTGAGTAATTACATCTGGTGTAGTAACACCAAGTACAGAACGCTTAGAGTTTGGTAAGTTCTTGTTCACAATATTGTGAGGGTTTTAATAGATAACATGGTGGCTTTACTTTCCTTTTTATTTAATCAGTCCTTGTTTCTTAGCTGACAGCATAGAAAATATTAAAACCCACTACACAATATTGTTGCTTGCTTTTCCAAATATGACTTACCTAAACCCTACATGCCGGCTCCAGGCTCCAGCAGAATTCCATGGTGAGTGCTGTCACCAGCGTAACGCACACTGGGGCTTCACAAGGAGCAGGAGCCGGTGGGTCTGAATCTAAAAAAAGAGAAGTGCCATTTAAGCCAAATGTGCTGAATGCTCCCCTTAGGCTGTCTATCTGGAGCATTCAGCACATAATTTGAAGATTTTGCATTCCTTGTATCTGTCCAGGATAATATTCCCTGGACTTCTCAACAGCCGAAAACATTAGGACATTGTAAACATCTCTGGTGCTCAGTGATCTAACTAAATTAAAAAGATCTTCCTATTTTGAAAACTTATAAAAATGTAAAGTTTATTACTTTAAACGAAAAAAAGCATATTTAACAGCTCCTTAAAAAGCACTACTTGCATTAGCAGCAAAGACTTAGAACAAAATTCAACGAAGTAGTCTGAGCAAGCCGATATTCAAACTGCTGAAAGCTGACTATCAACCAAGACTTTCAGTGGGATCCCATGACACTTCCCCTCAGTACTGTGGCTGCAGCCTATCACAGTAAAAAGAGCCCCTTAAAAAAAAAATATACCCTCTGCTTGGCATGTTGGGTTTCACGAGTCATCATGGAAATTAAATATTTGTTTCCAACTTACAAGTCTAATGTAATTTTTCTAATAACTAAGTGGTAACAGACTTCCTCCTTTCCTAAAAAAAACCCCACCAAACTCAGGCAGCACTTCTTATCTGAGACACACACTTTTGGTTCTCCCAAACACAGCAAAGAAACTCAACTCTTCCTTTGAAATGGAATTGCACACGACTTCCAATTCACAGCAAACACTGGAGTCTCTCTTCAAATTACATGCTTAGCACACAGTGCTGTACTTTCTCAGCCTTAACAGAAGTGATGAAGTAGTCTTGAAATAAAGAGAAATTACTATTTTGAACACATGGATTTATCTAGTAAGTGATAATCTCTCATAAATTACGGAACTATATATGGATGAACATTTCCCAATACAACTAAAATCCATGTAGTAACCCAGTGCCAATTTAATATTTGTACCATGTTTTTCAGCAAATTTAAAATCAAAGGAAACAAAACCCTACGAAGAAACAACTGAGGTGGCTTGTATGGTATTTATTTCACTTAGGATAATGAAGTGGTGTGTTTCTTATGCAATAGTTTAATATTTTATGAGGAAAGAACAAATGTCTTTAGACAAAATATTCAAGTTTTGCACAATGTGTAGCCCATTTTAGCCGTCTTCAAACAAAGTTACAAAAGATGACCAAACAAGGATTAATGTTATGCAGAGATCCCAGAGTCCTAGTAGAGTAACTCTTGAGTGCAAAGCTTTGATTAAGTCCTTTTAAGAGGTGGTATTCCTAATACATCCTATAGTTGCAGGATGGAGATAAGATTGTAGCTATGAAAACATTTTTCACCTTGTGAATCACTGACCACAGAAGTGGAATTAAAAAATGTCATGCTCTACATTAATAAGTTTCCTCTCCCTCCCGAAATTTCTCTTTTCTCCTAAAACAGAATTTCCTTTTCTTGTTTCACTATATTAATTCAACTTATCGTTCAGGTACTCAGGCTTCTATCTGCTAGCCATGACTGAGATAGGTTAAGCAATAACATGTGTCCTTGCATACACAGAAAGCTATACACCGTGAGAAGTATTAAAAACCATATTCCAGGTCTTCTACCATCTTTTTCTCTGCTCTCTATCAGATTCTTATCACTATTTCAAATCAATAGTTTCTACTTTTCTCAATGAGTATAAAATCTCATTCATTCCACTTATACATTTCAGCCTAAGACATTTCTTCCATTTTCAGCTCCCAGTTTTCATTCAACTAAATCGACGATTAAGCTCCAGGAACCAGGCAATGCGAAAAATAAGTTTTGTAGGTACTGTTTCACAAACTTGTTTGTTTCACTGTCTCTAGGTTTATTGCCATGGGCATGTGTACATTTGTATGAGATGTGCCATATTCTCTGTACAAACACGTCAGTCTGAAAAAAGCATGCTTCATGTTCTGACGCCGCGTTCTTACCTCAAGCATGTTATAGATGATGTAGAGCTTTATGACAGACTGTCCCCTTATCAGATGATACATCATAGAGTAGTCAACATAGTGCATCATGAAGTAGCAGATGACCAATATAACTCCTTTGAGAATGTCACATACCTGAGCAGGTTGTAGCAAACGTCTATCACTGAAATAAAGGGCAAAAATGTCTAAATGTCAAAGATGACACTAAATGATCACATTTGTATGTCATATACCCACATTTTGTGGGTATATGACAAGTCAACAGGAATTTACAGAAGCTGTTAATCAAGGATATATTTTAACATAGTTTATTACTGCCCCTTCCCCTGCTCCCTCTTCCACACTTAAGGAACACCATGACACAAATTCATAGATCACACTCCCAACCGGGATCGCATTCTCTTATCTGCAACATCCATTTAGTTAAAATACTGTATTTGTTGGCTAAGAGCTCCCACTTGTTAAGAACGTTCCGCATGCATGTCCTTCGGTTTTTGATTTACCTTCCCTCTTCCAGCCAATTCTATTTATCATTTTGACTTTGTCAGTTACAGAAATTGTACTTACTATAACCAAAAGAAAGAGAAATGAAGTAGTCATCTTCAGTTGCAGTATAATGAACCAGATGCTGAGGAACAGGTTTTAAATGCAATTCCCTATCTTTTAGCTCTAATCTCTCCAGCAGTAAATGCAAACAATTTGACATCAAAGCTTGAGGATGACCTTGAACCAATGCAGAAGCTGGTTCAGACTGACTATAGTCCCACCAGTAAGCTGGAAAACTAAATGAATTATTGCACAATTTCATCCTATGAACTAAGACTACAGGAAGAAAATAGCTTTACCTGAATTGCCACAATAGCAGCCATAAGCATACTGAAATTGCAAGGCAGTATTTACTTGTCTATTTACTTAGTTTAATAGTAATAGGATACAAAGCATTAAAAAGCCTTCAAATTAAATCAAAATGTTATTTCTCTTTTTAGTATCTAATTTTCAAATAATTTTTGATTATCTGTATTTATTTTTAAAATACACTGAAAGGCTTTTGCAGAAACTAATGTTTCACAAAAGCTAGAACAAATAAGCAGAATGCAAGTTATGAATTTTTGTAAATCACTAGGTTATCCAGAGATTTGACAATGCTGATAGCACATTTAGAAAAAAGTTAAGAGTAAGTTGCTAAAAATCCATGCTATTTTTAAAAAAAACCATCTTAACAGGTACATATGACCTCTGGGAGTCAAGATGTTCTACAAACCCTGTAGATAAGTCAAAAACCCCAGCTATCCGACTCGTTCTATTTAAATACAATATCAGAGCTAGAGTGTTACGCTTTGGGTTTCTTTACTGTCTTCCATTCAAAAGAAAAAAGCCCTGAAGACAGCCTTCACGCATCATAACACACACAGAACAGTGACGTTCTACAATGGGCAAATAGATCGTGCTCATTCTAGGAGTATGAGCAAGAAAGTTTCCAGAACTCTCAGATTTACAGTATTCACTTTGAACAAAAAGCAACTGTTCCTTTTAACTGTATAATCTATATTAAAATCAATTATATTCTGAATAATAGAATTCAGCCTGCTCCAGGACACCAGAACTGCTCAGTGTGACTTTCTCAGAGACATGAGAAGTCATCCAGTAACAGTAACCACGCCACATTTTATTTCAGAGTTAAGTCCTTGACAAAAAGCCTCAGTGAATTTTCTTCCTTTTTTCCCCCTGAACTGAGTTTTAACAGTAAACACCAATTTAAAAACATTAAAAAAACCCTGCAAGTGTCCATTTTCCAGAATATCCAGTATTTGTCAGCTGCTTAATGAACCTACGACTATGCCCCTGCACGACAAAAAAAATATATGCACCTTCTCCAACCCGCAAAATTCCATTTTGAAAGTTTATTGCCCCATTTAACTATATCTGACTGAAATTATTACACTTATCTAAATATATTAGCATATATTGAAACATTTCTAGGATTTAAGCAAGACAATGATTATGATTATCACTCATAGGCTGAATAACACAGCATGTTCCTTTCTCTCCAACCTATTTCAATTTTTGAAGTATACTCCAAGTCATTTCAGCATGAGGCCCCCAGCCAACACTCCTACTCCACAACACAGAATGGAATAAAGCGGTAAAGGCAGAATTACTCCATATCAGTAATGCCAGGTCTTAGCATTTGAAAAAGATAATCAGAATTTGTTACTCAGAAAATTAGTATCTTCATTCTTCCAGCCAACACTGACCTTATCATTAGAGAAGTACTAAGTACCTGGTAGAGAAAACCTGACTAGTCAGAGAGACACCCACTTCAAAAGCCTATACTTTCAAAGTTTGATAAGGTACCAATTTTTATGATGGGATGGTCTCGCGTTAAAATGCACTAGTAAGCAGAACCTGTTTATGAAGTTTCTGAAGCAGTCCAGAAAGATTCTCACAGGAAAATGCTTTGATGCCCACAGATCAATACAGACTGAAAATAATGACATTAATGATTTTCTGGCTTACAAATAAAGATGCTTAACCACCAGTACAGTCCCAAGTCAAAGTTATTCTCTACTGTTAACACTATCACTCTTCTGCATGTGTTGGTTTCCATCAGTATGACTGTAGTCACTTAAGTAAAACCAATTCAGGGGGAAGCTGATGTGAAAGTAGACAGCAACCATCACAGGGTAATACAAGCTGTAAGAACAGATTACACACAATCAAGAGCACAACCACTCTTCTAAAGATGGTCTTAACTCTGAAAACTAACTCAGGAGAATAATGTCATATGAAGGTGCTTCCAAACTTGCACACAACATCCTATTCTTGTGAGAGATGAAGATATTTTGATAATGTGCTGTTTACAGAACAAACTGGGTATCACTACAATTCAATTCAAAGGCTGTCCAAAAGGGTCAGATCAACCTCATTTGACTGCTGTGCCTTACAGGAATTAAGCTTTTCTGAAATAGAGTACATTCAAATCATGTTTTTAGAGAATTTTACCCTTCAAAGTGACTTGGATTTAGTAGTCTGTATATATAGAAAAAAACGCAGTAAGCACTCCATTTTTTTCTGTTTTAACTAAAAATACACTCTTATATTGCTGTTCTGTTCAAAGTTGTGCAATAACTTTTTGTGCCTTTCATCCACATGAGAAGCAGAACCAACAGTAATGTGGTGACAACTTCTTCAAAACGTATCTTTAAAAGAAGTCACGAAAATATCCTCACAGTTTCAATTCACTCAGTTTGATGACAGAACCATCAGCATCTCTAACTCCTCGCCAGTACAAGGGATTATTGCAAAGGCTGAGTACAGAAATCTGCTTTCTAGAAAGTGAAAAGAAAAAGGAGATCCTGGCATTTAAAATATATTCCAGTGTTCTTTCATCATACGCTAAGAAAGACCCCTTCATACTGACTAGGCAAGTAATGTATATTCTGCAACTAACATGTTTCTGATTGAGAGACATTAACCAAGTGTTAGGTTAACGGTTGGACTTGATGATCTTAAAGGTCTTTTCCAATCCAAAAGATTCTACAATTGCAGCATAAATCCACAGAAGAACTTTTATAGCAGCAGAATCCTTTTCTGCTCGGGCTAATAACATTTACGAAAGGATTCTTGAGGTGTGGATCTGTATATAATATGGGATAGGGATAATTATTTCCTACACAGACAACGAAATGAAGTAAATCATGGAATCATAGAATGGCTTGGGTTGGAAGGGACCTTAAAGATCATCTAGTTCCAACCCCCCTGCCATGGGCAGGGACACCTTCCACTAGACCAGGTTGCTCAAAGCCTCATCCAGCCTGGCCTTGAACACTCCCAGGGATGGCCCTTCTACCACCTCTCTGGGCAACCTGTTCCAGTGCCTCACCACCCTCTCTGTGAAGAATTTCTTCCTGATACCTAATCTAAACCTCCCTGCTGTCAATTTAACCCCGTTACCCCTTGTCCTGTCACTACAGTCCCTTGTAAAAAGTCCCCTCCCAGCTTCCTTGTAGCCCCTTCAGGTACTGGAAGACTGCAATAAGGTCTCCCCAGAGCCTTCTCTTCTCCAGGCTGAACAAGCCCAACTCTCTCAGCCTTTCATCGTAGGAGAGGTGCTCCAGCCCTCTGAGCATCTTTGTGGCCCTGGACTAAATGGACTAAGTCTAATGATTTGTCACCTTTTGGCAAGTACACAGAACTAGCTGCACAGCTTGCAGTTATGAAATGACACAGTCAGTGTTCAGTGAGAACTGAACATGGCAATTTCTTTCTATGATCAGGCTCACATTGGTTCAATCCGTATTTGTCACAAATCATTCCTATCCTTCACATTAAACTGTTTTATACATATAAACACACACAGGTTGATGTGATTTTATGCCTGCCATGAAGTCTTCGCCCACCCATCACACACATTACATTTTCTGCATTCATTTTTCCCAATATATGTTTTTACTTATTCTCTCCAGTAACTACTGAGTGCCAGCACTGGCAAGCACTTTCAGAACAATCTTGAGCACTGAGTAGTCAGGCCCCATGATTAATATCACAGACAAATTCATAATGCTGTATTCATCTGCACCATGAGTACTACAGAATCTCAAAAAAAGCCCCCAGAAAACACGAAGAAGAAAGCCAGTATTGGCCAAGCTATGATTAGTGTACAAAGGTCCCGAAACAAAGAAATTCAAAGCACAGCACATAATACTTTCAATATCTCATTTGAAAGTAGGGAGCCAAGAGGTAAGAACTAGACAATTCTGAGCTACTGTATGACTCTAGAAATCATTGAACAAAGATATGAGAAGTTAAAACAAACAGCTTAGCTCATTTCAAAAGACTTCATATTTTTACAGTTACTGATGAAGTTGTGTTTGTTCACAGGAAAATTAGTTATAGGTGCTTTTTCTCATGACTGAGAAAGTGAGAACAATCAAGAGTACAACTATCTTATTTTATATTTCATTATTCCGGTTACAAAATAGCAAGGAGAAGAATCTATCTATAGAAATCAGTTGGTCTTTTCCTTCAAAGCTATCCCAGGCATACAGTGATGCTGCAGAAGTGAATTAAATGTTAACACTTTCCTGGCTTTAGTGAACTCCATTCTTAAAAGACGGTATCACGTGAGACTTGGTGCAAGACGTGATTCCTCTAATATCCTAC